GGGAGAGGATTGGGGGGCTCTGAGCCTGGCCTGATCAGGTATCACCAACATTAGCTGATATTTTATCATCAGCCCTCAACATCTGGCAGCTGCCCAGCCTCCGATGACCTCACCTAGGTGAGAGAGATCAACCTGTTTAGCCTGAGGATGGGAGACCACCAGGAAGCATCAGGGCTACTCTATAGGCTGAAACCCCTCCAAGACAAGGAGGGTGAAGCTTCAGGCCCTCCTCGAACTCACCCCCTCAAAAGATTCACTTCCCATTCCTCTTTTAGCCTGACTGATCTCCCTGGAACTCTGCCCCTCCCCCCTTTCTCAGTTCCTGGAAGAGGAAGACCTCGTGGGAACCCAATTCCCCTTCTCCAGAGAGAGGGGACAGGGTTAGAGTGGAGCAAAAACCTTAAAGGGGGACAATGAAGGGGGGGTATCTCACCTTCCTTGGTCCTTGCCCCCACCTCTAAATACAGTAGACTTTTAGTCTTTCCCTCCTTCCCGAGGCTCAGGGCGGAAGGGAGGAAATTGGGGGTCTTCAAGAAAAGCCCCCTTGCCCTCCTCCCCTAGTGCTGAACTCCCTTTCCTGCCGGTCTCAGGTGCACGAGGAAGCCCGACCCCCAGTCCCGTGTCAGGAGGGGGGGAAAGGCTGCTAACGCAGATCAGAACGGAAAACTGGTGGTGGGAGGGAAATGCGAGAGAGGAATAAAGAAGAGGGAGGGGGAAAGCGAAGCAAGGAGGAAGAGGGGGTGGGGGAAGAATGAGGAAGAGTGCGGGTGGGGGTAGTGAAGTGGGATCGAAGGGGGAGCGAGGAGGGAGAGGGGAAGTGAGAGGGGGAGTGGGGGGGGAAAGCGAGTGGGGAGCAAGAAGGGAAAAGAGGAGGGGGAAGAACGGGGAAGAGTGAGGGCGGGGGGAGTGAGGAGGGAGCGAAGGGGAGAGCGAGCAAGGAGGGAGAGGGAGCGAGGGGGGAAGGGGAGGGAGAGAACAGGGAAGAGTGGGGGAGGAGTGAAGAGGGAGCAAAGGGGGAGTGAGGAGGGAGAGGACGTGAAGGGGAAATTGAGGGGGGTGAGGAAAAGCGAGTGGGGAGTGAGAAGGAAGGAGGGGGAAGAACGAGGAGGAATGCGGGCGGGGGTGAGGAGGGAGCGAAGCGGGGAGCGAGGAGAGAGGGGGAGAGCGAGGGGGAGGGAGGGGGAGCGAGGAAGGAGGTGGGGACGACAGCGCTAGCGCCCGCGCCGCGGAACTCTATTTCTGACTTCCAGAAAGTGGAACATCCGGCCCACCCAATGAAAAAGCGAGCTTCGGAAGCGTCACCGGTCTCCAGGCAGAGGACCCACCGCTGTGTCCTTTGGAGGAGATAGTTCTCGGAGGCGCCAGGCGATGCTCAGCTGTTCGTCTTCGTACAGCTGTGACCGTTCCAAGTTACAACGGAACTGAAAAGTGACTCATGAGCATTTTTCACACTTTATGACCACCGCAGCATCCCCACGGTCACATGCTTTGTCCCTCGGGGCCTTGGCAATTGGCATGCGTTTATGACGGGGCCCATGTGATCCCCTTTTGCGACCTTCTGACCATCAATGGGGGAAGCATGATTCGCTTAACAACCACAGTGATTCGCTTTAAAACTGTGGCAAAAAATAGGTCATCAAAAGGGGTGCAGCTCACTTCGAACTGTCTTGCTTAGCGGTGGAAAATTTAGGACTCAATTGTGATCACCAGTAACGTTGCTTTTTTTACCACTTATTTTTTATTTATTTCTATTTGCTGGTCTTTGCATTTTGTAAGTTTCCCCAGACATTTTCTCTTTTATTCTGCTTTCCCCAGAGACTCCACATCCTCTGTCCAGATATTTTTGTCTATCTTATCCGCAATAGGACAGAACAGGACAGAACAGGACAGGATAGAATGAAAACTTTAGTGTCACTTTAAATGTACATGAATCAGCATACGTTAAAATGAAATTTCATTGCACTCAGCTCTCAAAAGATAAGCATTATGCACATATCCCCCCCCCGTATACACACACACACACACACACACACATGACACAGAGAAACATCACAGTCTAGTTCGGATGTATAAATAAACACGGTGGAAAAAAGAATTCTGTGAATTTACAAGATAAGGATAAAGGACAAAGCTCTTCCAGAATCTAGTAATCCTGCGATGGATAGAACCATAAGAAAGGCTGAGCACCAAAGAATGGAGGCCTTTGAACTCTGGTGCAGGAGAAGACTCCCGTGAGTCCCTTGGATTGCCAGGCGATCCAACCGGTCTGTCCTGGAGGAGATCAACCCCGACTGCTCTTTAGAAGGCCGGATCCTGGAGATGAGTCTCAAATACTTTGGCCACCTAATCCTAATGAGAAGGAAGGATTCACTGGAGAAGATGGAGGGCCAAAGAAGAAGGGGAGGACCGAGAATGAGGTGGCTAGATGGAGTCACCGAAATAGGAGGCATGAGCTTAAATGGACTCCAGAGGATGTAGAAAACAGGATAGGAGGCCTGGAGGAACATGCTCCATGGGGTCGCGATGGGTCGGACACGATTTCACAACTAACAACAACAAGATAGAATGAATGAGCTGGAAGGGACCTTGGAGGTCTTCTAGTCCAGCCCCCTGTTCAAGCAGGAGAACCTATACCCATTTCAGAAAAGTGACTGTCTCTTCTCACAAGCCGTTCCACTGGTTAATTGTCCTCACTGTCAGGAAGTCAAGTTTCTCCTTAATCCAGTGCTGCTTCCCTCCTTGGCGAGTTCCCATCTATTGTTTCTTGTCCTGCGCTCTGGTGCTTTGGAGAATAATTTGGTGAAGAAGAAGACCCAGAGCTGAAGAAGCTTCTGGGATGAGAAGCGAAACGTCTTTCGAAGAAAAACCAGGTAGTCCAGGTTGCCTCTTGAAAAAGCACCTTTGGGACAGCTGTGACCATGGATGACCATAGAGAATCTCCATATTGCTATAGAAATAGATGCTTCAAAATCTCCTCCCAGAGGGGAGAAAAAGAGACTAGCAAGGCTTTGATTGTTAGGCCGGTGTGTGTGTGTGCGCGTGTGTGCATGCATGCGTGCGTTGGGTGGCCTATCTGTTTGAATTCTAAAGTCCCAGAGCACTTTAGCTTCCTCTTTTTATGTTTACTTGGTCTATTTTCTGACCTCGGAAAATTTCTGGCTTGCAGCCAAACGAGAGCAACGAAGATGATTAGGGGACTGGAGGCTAAAATATATGAAGAACCGTTGCAGGAACTGGGTATGTCTAGTTTAATGAAAACGAGAACTGGGGGAGACATGATAGCATCTTCCAATATCTCACGGGTTGCCCCAAAGAAGAGAGAGTCAAACTATTCTCCAAAGCACCTGAGGGGAGGACAAGAAGCAATGGGTGGAAACTAATCAAGG